ATAGTTAAGATAAGGTATAAATTTGCTTGATGTTTTTTCTCTTTGATGAATTTGAGTTTTTTCTTGTTCTTGTCACTGACAAAAGAGGAATTCGAATTTCAATGCTGTTGCAGAAACATGATTGTCTGATCCACATTCCAACGGTCAGGAATCCCTTTTCCGTTTCATTTAAACACTGCTCGGTTCTATTTCTGTCTCACTCACTTCTGTAACATTACACTCACTATTGTTTATTTTTTTAGGTATATAAGCACAGGGTTGAAATTTCCATTACCTGCAATGCCACCTGAGAAGAACTCAATAAAATTGCAGAGAAAGCTAGAACTGAAGCAGCTGCACGTGAGAGATACTAGGCTACTTGAGAAGTTAGATGTTCGTTTCTCGTAGATACTTTCTTGTTTTCTCAATCTTTATGTAAATCCGGAAGCACATACACAAAGATTTTGAAATATTGATCGACTAGAATTGTTTTACTTTATCATGTCTTTTCCTAAAAAAAGAGAATCAAAATACGATTACTGTTCTCATGCGGTGGTATTCAACGCATGAAAAATATGCATGATCAGTGTAGTGAAGAATATCAAAGTATCACAAACTGGCTTCATGTGTTCCTCTCCGGTTTGGAGGCAAAGCTTTCTTAGGTGGCCCTTCACGTAATCTGCAAAATAAAGAAAAAGAAACAAATCTAGATATCTATTGCTAAAAGAGTATTGTGTTCAGGTCATGCTTGAGGCTTACCCGCATTCGCTTATTGTTTTGTTCTGTCTCTTCACAACTGTCTCGACACTCTTGTTTAACTATATTGTCCTCACAAACTCGTGGAAGAGTATTTGGATCACCAAGTTGGTTCTTCGGTGATAAGTAGTCCTCAGCGAGTCGTATACCCCATCCTTTTAAGTTGAACTTGGACTCAGGAATAATACTCAGATGATGCAAGTACTGAGGATCCAATATTTTAGATCTGAATGCAGAGTCCATTCTATTACTTAAATGAAGTTGTACATCCACGTGATCGTAGTTTAGTTGAGATATAGGAGAAATGTCTTTGTTTAGAGGGAACCGACAATCCAATATAAACAGATGACTATCCTTCTTATCTGTCCAAAAGAGTTGTTGCTGGCCAAAAGAATCAAAGCTGTCCCCAAATATGCCTCTGAACCGACATTCGACACGGATAAATACCATATTACTACCATAAACAGAGTCAAAAAAGTGTTATTTTAGTCATTTTAATTTTTGAGGTCTATATCTATATTATTAAAACTGAAGTACCTTTTAGTACTGTTTGGAAATAAGGATAGCAAAATAAATGAAACATTGTTTGGAAACATGGATAATAGATTAAGTATTTTCTTTTATTTGTACATTTAGTCATTGTATTTACAATAAATTAAATACTTTCCTTTTATATTTCTTTTTATTTACAGATTATGTCATTGCATTTAAAATCAGTTTAAGTTAATTAATTTCAATGATTTTTCTTTCTTTGAGATGAAAATAAAAACATAAACCGAAATATATAGTATACATTATATAAAATAATTTTTAAATATAATATTACCTTATTTAATTTAGTCAAATATAAAATTGTGTGAGTTCAATTTAAAAAAATCATAAAATTAATGATAATTCATAGAAAACTAATTAAAAAAAAAATTTAGTATGTTATTTTATTTTAAAATAAATTAACAAAAAAACAACATGTTAGTATATGAATAGTATGATTACATTAAACTGCATCAAGTTATAAAATTTCTAATACACTACTATGTACAAATAAAAATTATTATTAAATATTTATATTATAAAATAACATATTTTACTTTATATGTAAATTACAAAACATAAAAAAAAATTGTAAAAAACCAACGGTTTATGAATTTACGTTAAACACAAGTTAAATCAAACATCTGCACGGGAGTGCGGGTCAAGTTCTAGTCTATACTATTAAAGCTGAAGTACAAAAAGTTAAGTGTTTGGAAACATGAATAGGAAATATTTAAAATTATGATGATTAGAAACAAGGATATCTTACAAATCTAATGGACTTATTTATTAAACTAAAGATTACTGCGGGCCAAGGTACTCTTATTATTGTTTTTGGATTTTCTATCATTGATATTACTTTACTTCTGAAAATTATTTATACATATATGTATTCATGTTCTAAATGTTTTTAGAATAAATCAAGAATAATATATGTTTATTTATATAATTTATATTGACTATTGTTATAAGTTTTTAACAGTGATATACTAGCCTTTCAATTCTTCATTAAAAATTTAACTTAAAAATTTGACTAAATTATTTAGTGTATATAACTTTGCACCAAATTTAGCCAAAATGTTTTTTATAAACTATTACTAAAATGTTTACGGGTCATAACATTTTACGACGTCCATGTTACACAATACAATGATAAAATACAATGTTTAAATACTATACTATTACTTAGTAAAATTGGAACCATTAAATTATAATTTTGAAATGTTAAATATACCATAAAAACAAAGACCCGTCCAGTCGAGCGGGTTAAGATCTAGTCTATATTATTAAAACTTAAGTACCTTTTGGTACTGTTTGGACACAAGGATAGCAATATTAAAAATAATTATGTTTGGAAACATGTATAGTAGTGTCCTTTTAGTATTTCCTTTTATTTACATACTAGGTGATTTTCCCGTGCTCATGCACGGGTATTAATATTCATAAAAGTAAAATTTTATAATAATTGATTTTTCCCATGTTCATGCACGGGTATTAAGTTTTTTTTTGCATCAAAAGGCTGATCTATTGATTTTTTTAGCTAAGTATGCTCGATCCTTTTAGTTTTAAATAAATTTATATGTATAATTTATATTATTCTAATTATACATATGACTTTGGATATATTATTGTTGGTTTAATTATTTTTTGGATCAATAGTCGGTTTTAACAATTTGGTATATTGGATAATATCTATTTTTGAATTTAGCTATAATATTAGCACGGGTATTAATATTCATAAAAGTAGAATTTTATAATAATTGATTTTCCCGTGTTCATGCACGGGTATTAATTTTTTTTTTGCATCAAAAGGCTGATCTATTGATTTTTTAGCTAAGTATGCTCGATCCTTTTAGTTTTAAATAAATTTATATGTATAATTTATATTATTCTAATTATACATATGACTTTGGATATATTATTGTTGGTTTAATTATTTTTTGGATCAATAGTCGGTTTTAACAATTTGGTATATTGGATAATATCTATTTTTGAATTTAGCTATAATATTTTTTATTCTAAATATAATAAAACTTTGATTAATTTTCTTATTTACATTACGGTTTGTTATTGTCTTAGATATGTAAATATATTATAGTTAAAGTATGTATAACTTAATATATATTGTGCTTAAAATGAAATAAATAATAAACTGAAGTGTTTGATTCAAAATTACATAAATAAATATAATGATAATATTTTGAAGTCTCATGCATATATATAAATTCTACAAAAGAATTAAATTGTAACTGGTTATTATTTTCTCTTTAATGTTTTAATATGATTTGAGTCAACCTATAATTTATATGTATAAAATCAAATAGATTATTATTATTATTATTATTATTATTATTATTATTATAAAATTATATGTTCTCATTGTAGTTAGATGTTTAATTTTGGATATAAATTAGATTAGTCGAGTCATTCATTTTGTGAGTATATTGAGTTAAATATATTTTTTAAACTAAGATTTGAAGTATAATTACTTTTTATTTTAATTAAATAAAATCAAATTAGTTTTATTATCACTTAGATATACATGTATTTTCATAATATTTATTTACTCTTTATTTTAGTTTAGTCAAATCAAATTAGTTTTATTTATCGCTTAAATATACATGTATTTCAAATATTTATTAAATTATATGTTGATTTCTAAAAAAATATTATAAAACAAAGTGTAACTGATAAATTTCTGAATATTCATGAACATATATATTTTTATTATTGTGAAAATATATTTTATGTTATTTAAAATATATATTAGTAGCGGTATTACTATTTTGTGAAATTTCCTTTTTAATAAAATCATATTATAAACATATATTTTCGTTTTTAATTTTATTTAAAAATTTTAGAAATGTTTCCTTTTTATTATATAAGTTATTTGGAAAAAGTTAAAAAGGAAACTAAATAAAAAAATTAAGAATAATCTTAAAATCTAACAATTCATTAAGGGTATCTACGTAATCAACCATCACGAAAGTTAATGTGAGCGCGACACATAGGAAACTGACTTCTCAAATAATATTATAGAGATTTAGCAATTGTATTTACAATAAATAATTTTTTTTTTTGTATTTCTTTTTATTTACAGATTTCACCACTACATTTAAAATTAATTTAAATTAATTAATTATAGTTCTAAAGCTGATAGTGTTATTGAAAAGATAGGAATATCAATTAAAATATAGTATATATTATATAAAAAAATTAAATATAGTATTACTTTATTTAAATTATTAAAAAAATCAGAGAGTTCAATTTTGAAGAAAACAAAATATTATAAAATTAATAATAATTCATAGAAAACTTTTAAAAAATCAGTATATTATTGTATTTTAAAATAAATTAACAAAACAAATAACAGGTTAATATATAATTCGTAAAATTACATCAAGTTATAAAATTGTTATTATACTATTATGTACAAATAAAAAAAATTATATATGTAAATTACAAAACATATATATATTATTATTATTATTATTTTATAAATCAGCGGTTCATGAATTTACGTTGAACACAAGTTAAATCAAACACCCGCGCGGAGACGCGGATCAACATCTAGTTTGTGATTAAAACTTAAAATTGGGTTATTTGAGAGAATTACCCTTAATTTATTTTGATTTTCCCCACAAGACATTCAATCTATAGGGCAGGCCATTTCTTATAAAAATGTTAGTCACATTTAAAAAAAAAAAAAAAAAAAGCTAAGATAGAGTACATACCTGCTCCATTGCCCACAATTTCTCAATCTTCGTTTTGCAGAAACCAAGACTAATTGGTTTCTTAAGACGAAAGATAAAACCGAACTCGTCAATCCCTGTTTCGTCTAGAATAAGGGTTGAGATGTTTGTCGAAATATCAGGAAGAATCTTCAGCCGAGAGCACCCACCGAGGATAAGGTGATCAAGAGACTGGAGGTACATCCCTGTGGGAAGAGTCTTCAAATTTTCACAGTATGACATATGCAGCCACTTCAGTTTTTTGAGATACTGAATAGAGGAAGTAAGCTCCACCAAACTCGAGCAATAAGAAAGATCAAGTGTCTGGAGATTAGTGGCCAGAGAAAGATCTGGTACTTCTTCCAGATTTTTAGATTCTTTCAAATCCATTACCATGAGCCCTGCAAGTGACTGAAGTCCACACGTCAACTGAAAACATCTATAAAAGTACACTCTTAAGCACCTACAACTGATCAATAGTAATTTTATTAAAGACTTACATGAACCCCTTCCCACAACTTTTGGAGTTTGCTATCCCGCATTTGAAGCTTGACAAGGTTTTCAGGACGAAAATTCGTAGGCATATGTTTCATTGGATATCCGTCCAATCTCAAGAATCTAAGTTTAGGGGGCAGATAGTCAAAGCCTTTTGGTAAAAACCATCTCATCTTCTTGTTCCATTTCTTACCGTTACAAACCTCCAGAAAAAGGAGATTTCGCATCCCTTTGAAAGCATTGTTATGTATATGAAGTTCATCATTCTCATCCATATTCAATGATATCCCTAAAACCTTCTTAGTACCCTGAGATGACAATACAAATATCATTTCAAAGATTATATGATTTTAATCTTATAGAGTGCTATATAAATGAAATGAATTAAGTATGAAAAAAAAAACTTACACTGTTATCTTCAAGTACATCGCAAATTTCTTTTGAATCCATAAGGAATTCTCGTTCTCCAGGCTCATCAGATTGTGCACGGACAATCTCTTTACCCATATCTTGTAGCAAACAGTGCATCTCAACATTATTTCGTCTTACATGTACAAGAGACTTATCAACAAGGTTTTTAAACCCAATATTAAAATCCAAGTCACTATCTGCTAGTAGCATCTTGATGTGATCAACTTTTTCACCATTGAAAAGACATGAAATGTGACGAAATATTTCTTTATCTTTATTGTTGTTCAACCCTTCATAGCTGACTATTAGTGTTCTCTCAATTTTTCCATTCAACCTATTACGAAGGCTCGGTATCATATCCATCCAATCCTCTTTGTCCCTACCTCGTAAGTACGCACCCAAAACCTTGAGACCCAAAGGAAGGTTTCCGGCACACAATGCGATTTCGGAAGCAAGCTCCATCAAATCAGCAGGTGGAGAATTTTGCCTGAAAGCAGATCTACAAAACATCTCAAGAGCAAGGTTTGTAGATGGGAGGCATACCTCATATATATGATCAATCCCATGGGCCCTTAAGAAATGCCTATCTTTTGTAATCACAATGATTCTGCTCCCAGAACCAAACCAATGAGTTTGACCAGCCAACGTATCCAACACCAGTTGATCATACAAATCATCAATGAATATAAGAACTTTCTGGTTTTTTAGCCTCTCTTTGACTGCACTTAAACTATCTATCCTTATGTCTTTTTTGTCTAAGAGTTCAGACAAGAAACTTCGTAACAAATGTAACTTCATGTTATAATCGTCCGGGTTGGCGTTATTATAAATTTCCATAGTCTTATATACGAAAGCTCTGTCTATGAAAACACTACCTTGGAACTGGCGAGAGAGTTGACTATGTAAAACTCTTGCAATGGTAGTCTTACCAATTCCTGAGGAGCCCCATATCCCAACCATCCTCACTTCCTCAGATTCTAAATGCAATAAAACACTCATATTTGCAATATGATCTTCCATTCCAATAAACTCCTCAAAGTCCTTCGATGGAGATAAATTCAGTTTACCCAAGATATCATTAGCAATTGCTTCGACCATTTTTGCTTCATGAGTCCTAACAAGAGGAAAAGATCATTTAAACACGAAATAAACAATTTATCAGTTGTCACATGTCAAAGTCTATAAGAAAAGATCATCAATGTTCTAAAAATCAGTCTTGGAGGCGTTTATATGCTCATCTCGGTGGCAAATTGGTTCTAACCAAAATGATTCTTAAATCTGATTTAAACGGCTCAAGTCAGTATTACTCGTTCAAAATGATTCTTAAATCTAATAAAAAAAGAACACTACTATTCATGTTAATGAAATTATTAAAAAATATTAATAAAAGAAAAATACTAATATCTATGTTCCCAAACACAATTATACTCTTTTTATTATACATATTTCCAAATAATTTCATTTGTTCTTTTTTTTTTAAATGTTGGAACAATCTCATTTGTATCTAAAATATTAAAACTGAAGTACAAATAAATAATTACCCTAAATTTTCCTTAATAATTACAAGCATATGCCATTGATCAAAACACTGTAGTTTAACACTTTCTCTACCCTATATTTTTGTACTACATTATGTCAAAAAGTATTCTCACTATGCCAGTAATTTATATATTAATTCAATTAAGATAACGTCAATTAAGTAAAGTAATAATTGTGTAATACATCATGCCAAGAAATATTCCCACTTACCCAATATAAAATATTGCGTTAAACCAAAACCAGTTAATAATAATTTATTCAATGTTAGTGCCATAAGTAAAAAAAAAATCTGGATAAACTGATGTTTCATTTTTGTATTTATTTTTACTAAGATAACTGATGATACGTTGTGCCTTTTAAATTTTTTTAAATGTCTTTTTGTTAACTTGGTTTCATTATTGTTTTGTTTGTCGAACTAATGTGTTTGTTTTTAAAATTCTTAATAAAAATTGAATATTATATTCAACTTTAAAATAAAATATTTNTTAAATGTCTTTTTGTTAACTTGGTTTCATTATTGTTTTGTTTGTCGAACTAATGTGTTTGTTTTTAAAATTCTTAATAAAAATTGAATATTATATTCAACTTTAAAATAAAATATTTATAATTTAATTTAATAAATGCCACAAGTATACTTAGACCTCTAATTAGGGATGTTCCAAAAAATCGAACCGAATCAAACCGAACTAACCGAACCAAAACCGATCCAAACCAAACCAAAGTCATTATCAAATAGTTTGGTTTAAGATATTTCCAAACCGAACAAACGAAACCGAAACCGAATCGAATTAAAACCGAACCGATAAATTAATGTTTTTTGTTATTATTTTAATTAAACATATTAGAAATATAGATATACTAAAGTTTTAAAAATAAATTCATATTCTGTTTTCAATTTTAGTTAATAGAGCTAATATATTAGGTTTATAATAATGGAATAATGAGTATAGGTTTAAATATGGAATTTGAGTGAAGATATAAATAAATACTCGTATAGATTACGTATAAAATTTATAATGTCACATGGGAGATGATTAATTGTAGACTTTTGATTAGTATAAGAGACATTAGTAATGATTCATTATTTTTTAAAAATATATATTTATTTTAGTGAATTTTGATTTGAATATGCTCTTATTAATTCTTGTGGGTTTTAAAAGTTTTTATTCAATTTTATATTGGATTTAATTTATATAATTTATTATTTATTGCCACCACGTGATGATGTCATGGACATACGTTTATGGACATACGTTTAAGTTTTAAAATATATATGTTTTCTTAAACGAACTAAATTAAGAGTGCACAATTAAACCGAACCGAATATAAACCAAATCGAAACCAATTCAAACCAAACTAATTATGGTTTACTTCAGTTGGAAAAAAATCTAAAACCGAATTAACTAAACCGAATCGAACCCAAACCAAACCGAGAAAATAACCAAAGTGCTCACTCTTACCTTTAATATTTTACTGTTCACTTTACCAAATAAATTAAACAAAAGCACAAGAAAAAAAATTCTCATAATTTATAAATAAGTCAATCAAGTTGCACAAGACACATCAATGTCAAATCTGAATAACATACGAATCTATAATTTGATAATTTAATAATTTATTATTTATTGCCATCACGTGATGATTTCATGGACATACATTTAAGTATTAAAATATATTTTTCTTAAATGAACTAAACTAAGGGTGCACAATTAAACTGAACCGAAAAACAAACCGAACTGAATATTAACCAAACTGATTCAAACCAAACTAATTATNCGTGATGATTTCATGGACATACATTTAAGTATTAAAATATATTTTTCTTAAATGAACTAAACTAAGGGTGCACAATTAAACTGAACCGAAAAACAAACCGAACTGAATATTAACCAAACTGATTCAAACCAAACTAATTATGGTTCACTTCAGTTGGAAAAAATCTAAAACCGAATTAACTAAACCGAACCGAACCCAACCCAAACCAAACCGAGTAAATAACCGAAGTGCTTACCCTTACCTCTAATACTTTACCAAATAAATTAAATAAAAGCACAAGAAAAAAGTACATTCTCATAATTTATAAATAAAGGTCAATCACGTTGAACAATACACACCAATGTCAAATCTGAATAACATACAAATCTATAATTTGATAATTTAATAATTTATTATTTATTGCCATCACGTGATGAGTTCATGGACATACATTTAAGTATTAAAATATATTTTTCTTAAACGAACTAAACTAAGGGTGCACAATTAAACTGAACCGAAAAACAAACCGAACCGAATATTAACCAAACTGATTCAAACCAAACTAATTATAGTTCACTTCAGTTGGAAAAAATCTAAAACCGAATTAACTAAACTGAACCCAAACCAAACCGAGTAAATAACCGAAGTGCTTACCCTTACCTCTAATACTTTACCAAATAAATTAAATAAATGCACAAGAAAAAAGTACATTCTCATAATTTATAAATAAAGGTCAATCACGTTGAACAATACACACCAATGTCAAATCTGAATAACATACGAATCTATAATTTAATAAGTATAACAATTTAACTTATGTCATTTTCAAAAGTTAAAAACATATAGTTATCAAAAACAAAAACCCGCGCGGACGCGCGGGTCAAAAACTAGTTTCAGTTTTAAGAATATAGACATGTACTAGTCTTCTACAAAATATCTAGTTATTGCCTAGCAATTTCTTGAGCATTGGAATAGATAAAAAAACATATAAAATGTATGTGTTACCAACTTACCAGTTCTGAGAATGGTATCCGAGGAGATTTGCTACATCGGTCAACGATTGCCGCCACAACTTTGTTTCATCCTCAGTTTTTGTCTGACAAGTCTTGACAAAAGCCTCTCCGAATTTTCCAGTTTGTTTCCTAACATGAGACGGCTCTAAACCGTAGAAAATTGGAATGATTATTTGACCTGATTCGTCTTTGCATTTTACGATCTCAAGCAACTCATCCAGGCACCAGCTGGAAGATGAATACTTCTCAGAAAAGATAACCACAGCGATCCTTGAAGTCCTAATCGCTTGTTTAAGCTCTGGACCGAGAGAATGGCTTCTCTCAATCTCACTGTCTTTGAAAGCTACGATCAACTTCCGGTCAAGCTCCTTTAGAAAGTG